CCAAACTAAAAAGTGAAGAGAAAAAAAAGAATGGAAAAAAAAAAAGAAAAAGAAACACAACATTCAAGAACTGTGGGGTAATCACAAAAGGTATAAAATATACATAATGGGAATACCAGATGGAGGAGAGAAAGGAACAGAAGAAATATTTGAAAAAACAATCTTTGATGGTTATGGAGTGGGGAGGGAAAAATATTAACTAGACAATAATAGATAAGTGGTAATTTTGGTGAAAGGTAAGACAATACACAATACTGGGGAAGTCGGCACAACTTGAGACAGGAAAGGACATGGAAGCTTCACAGACACATCTAAACTCTCTGATGGACCAAATTACCGGGCTAAGGGCTGGGAACCATGCTCTCGGGGAACATCCAGCTCAACCGGCATAACATAGTTTATAAAGAAAACGTTCTACATCCTACTTTGGTGAGTAGCGTCTGGGGTTTTGAAAGCCTGTTAGCAGCCATCTAAGACACTCCACTGGTTCCACTCTGTCTAGAGCAAAAAAGAATGAAAAAAACCAAAGACACAAGAGAAAGATTAGTCCAAAGGACTAATGGACCACAACTACCACAGCCTCCACCAGACTGAGTCCAGCACAACCAGATGGTGCCTGGCTACCACTATCAACTGCTCTGACAGAGATCACAATAGAAGGTTCTGTACAGAGCTGGAGATAAATGTAGAACAAAATTCTAACTCAAAAAAAAAAAAAAAAAAAGACTGGACTTATTGGTCTGACAGAGACTGGGAGAAACCCTGAGAGTATGGCCTCCAGATGTCCTTTTAACTCAGTACTGAAGTCACTCCTGAGGTTCACCCTTCAGCCAAAGATTACACAGGCCCATAAAATGAGACTAAATGGGCACACTAGCCCAGGAGCAAGAACGAGAAAGCAGGAAGGGACAGGAAAGCTGGTAATGGGGAACCCAAGGTCAAGAAGGGGAGAGTGCTGACATGTTGTGGGCTGGGCAACCAATGTAACAAAACAATATACGTATTAATTGTTTAATGAGAAATTAATTTGCTCTGTACACCTTCATCTAAAGCAGAAAAAAACAACTTTCTCAGACAAACAAAAATTGATGGAATTTGTTGCCAGTACACCTGCCTTGCAAAAAAAATGCTAAAAGAAGTTCTTCCAAGAGAAGGAAAATTATATAGGCCAGAAACTCTGTAAAACTGGCATAGTGGGGGTGCCTAACCTTCTCTAACTTCACAAGGGGGAAGGAGAATCAAGATCAATAGCCCAAGGCTGATTCCTATGAGGCAGAGGTCAAACATAACTCTACCTTCCAACTTTTTTACCAATTCTGACACCAGCCGTCCCTCCCACAGCATTTTACTTCTCTGCCGGGTTCGGTAATTCATTCCAATGGCCACACAGAACTCACAGACGATACTCATGATTATGGGGTTTATTAGGGAAGTAACAAGCTACAATTCAGGAAAAGAAACAACTCAGGACACAGCTCTTAGGTCAGGACAGCTTCTTGTTTGTGCCGGCAGATAGGCATCTCTCTTGGCCTCTCAGGCCTCTTGGGCCAGCCCAGCCTCTGCCCTACTCGGGCAAGTGTTACAAAGCTCTTTAGCTCCACTGATAAGTGCCAGGAAGCACCCTACTCCACCAGTAAGCCTCGGCCCAAAGGTACTCCGTTCTATTGCTCTGTGGGTTGGTAAGCCTAGCTCCACCAACAAATGCCCGGAGGCACCCCACTCCGCCAGAAAGCTTCCTGTCTAAAGACGCTCATTTCTCTCACTCTGTGGGCTGGGAAGCCCACCACACCATTTCCTGCCGGTTTCCTAGTTCTGCTGCTGCTGGTTCTCTGTTCACTTGCTGCCACTTCTCACCATCTTGCACTGTCTCTGGTGTTACAGCTCTCTGTCTCCTGGATCTAGGAAGTTCTCAGCGCAGGGACTCAGGTCCAAAAGATGTGCACCGCTCCTGTCTCGTCTTGGTGGTAGTGAGATCTCCCTCTGTTCTGGGATTGGTTCTCTTTTAAGCCTGGTGGGAAGGCAAAACTGACCAATCCCCTCATTAGGGTTCCATATACCTTATTTGCATGGTCCCACTCCTACAAAGGTGCCATGTACCTTATTTTTATTATTAGCAAGCTGCCTAATTCCACTGGTGGGCCAGAAGCACCTTATTTGCATAATCCCACCCAATCTTTTGGTGGGAGTTACAAGATCATGGCTAGAAAGGCCATATAAAAGCAATCCATCACATGGCAAACTCAGATCTACTTAAAGAAAGGAAGAGCAAATATTTTATTTTTCTTATTCTTAATTGAGCTAACAGATAACAGTTCATTCAAAATAACAATAACAACAACGTATTCAGCAATTATACCTCATGGATAAGTGAAATGAATGACAGCAATGTTATAAGGAGTGATAAGGAAAAACTGAGAATACTCAATATAAGATACTTGTACTACCCGTGAAGCAGTGTAGTGTTATTTGAAAGCAGACTTGAATTGAATGTATATTGCAAACTCTAGCGCAATCAATAAAAATTTTCTTAAAAGAAGTACAATTGATTTACTAAATGACATGAGAAAATGTAATCATGTAAAATGGTCAATGAAAACTAGAAAAGGCAGAAAGGGAATGGAAGACTAAAAAAGAAACAAAGAGAAAGGGGAACAGAGTACTTCCAGGAAGATGGCAGCATAAGTAGATCTAGGATGCCAGCCCTCCTCAAATGAACACCAAGAAAAGCAACTAGAAATCTATACTCAACCCTGTAAGAACTCTGAAATAGCAGGCAAAGGGTGGCAGCAAGGAACTACAAACTGACACCAGATAAGGACAAGCCTTAAAGGGTAGGAAAAAGAAATCAAAAGTATCCAAATCAGGAAGGAAGAAGTAAAACTATCCCTTTTAGCAGTTGACATGATTCTATATCCAGAAAATCCCAAAGAATCCACAAGAAAGCTATGAGACATGATAACTGAATTCAGCAAAGTGGCAAGGTACAAAGTCAACACACAAAAATCATCCAGCAAATGAGCATTCTGAGAAGGAAAGTAAAGAAACAATTCCATTTACAATAGCATCTAAAAGAATAAAACGCTAGCAACAAAGTTAACCAGGGAGGTGAAAGACTTCTACACTGAAAACTATAAAACATTACTGAAAGAAATTAAAGAAGACCTAAATAAATGGACTGGACTCAATTTTGACGGCAACAGGTTTGGTTTTTGGTTTCGAAGGAAATTCTATGTTCATGCACTAGAAGACTTAATATTGTTAAGATGTCAATACTACCCAAAGCGATCTATAGATTCAATTCAATCCTTATCAAAATTCCAACATCCTTCTTTGAAGAAATGGAAAAGCTAATCCTCAAATTCATATGGAACATCAAGGGGCCCCAAATAGCGAAAGCAATCTCTGAAGAACAAAGTAGGAAGACTCACTCTTCTCAATTTCAAAACATACTATAAAGCTACAGTCTGGTAGAATAATAGGCACGTAGACCAATGGAATAGAATTGAGAATACAGAAATAAATGCATACATCTAGCCAGTACATTAAAGAAAAAGAAATAAAAGCCATACAGATTGAAAAGGAAGAAATAGATAAAATGATTGAAAATCCCAGGTAATCTACAACAAAGCTCCTAGAACTAGTAAATGACTTTAGCAAGGTCACAAGATACGAAGTCAATATACAAGAATCAATGTAATAGATAATTGAAATTTAAAGTTGAAAAAGCACCATTTACAATAGTACCAAAGAAGACCTAAATAAACAGACACAGTGTAAAGATATCAATTGTCCCTGGTCTAATCTATAGGTTTAATGCAATCACAATCAGAATCCCAGTACACATTTTTGTAGATTTCAACAACGTGATTATAAAATTTATAAGGAAGGCCAACGGACTAGAATAGCCAAATATTTTTGTAAACATTTTGGAAAGGACAAAGTTGAGGGACTTACGCTATCTGATTTCAAGACTTACTATAAAGTTATGGTAAAATTGGCAAAAGAATAGACACTTAAATCAATGAAACAGATAAAGAGCCCTACAGATAAAGATAAACGATTTTAACAAAGGAGCAAATGTAATTCAGTGGAGAAAGGCTTGTCATTTCAACAAACCATGCTGTACCATACCTCATATCTTATACAAAAATGAACTCAAAATGGACCACAGGCCTAAATGTAGAATGTAAAACCATAACATTTCTAGACAAAAACAGGAGAAAATCTACATGATCTTGGGTTTTGCAGAGTTTTTAGATATGATTCCAAAAGCACAATCCATAAAATGAAAAATTGGTAACATGGACTTTATCAAAATTGGAAACTTTTGCTCTGAGAAAAACCTTATTCAGAAAATGAAAATACAACCCACAGATTGGGAGAAAATATTTTCCAGAATTTATAAAATTAAGTTAGAGACAAGAGACGGTCTAAGGAAAAGAAAATCCTTTAGTCTGTGTTAATGCCAAGAACAACAGTAGCTTTAAAGTTCTCCAAGCAAAATGTAGACCTGAAGAAATTGTTATTTTATGTTCCTACTCGATCCTGCTCCCCAGTCTCCCTTCTTGCTTTGAGGACTAAGCACCCAGATTATACTGTACGTTTCCAGAAGTTCATTACAATTGAAAAAAAGCCACTGTTAAGAATAGGTTTGATACATCCTTTGAAATAATAATGAAATTTCATAAAAGAACAAATCTGAATGAGTTTGAGTACCAAAAAAAAGTAATATTTTGAAATTTGTTTTCATGAAGGGGCTGAGACCTGAGCCAAGGGTAGTTCTGGAAAGAGAGTGCTGTGAATAGAGCTTTACCTAAGCTTTAAGATATTGACTAATTAGATGGGATTAATGTGACCTTTACAGACAAAAAGAATGCCTACGTGAAGCAACTGCCAACCTTGGAGCTCAAAGTACTTTCTCAAGATCTTCTATCTTGTGAACAAACGAAATCCACAGGTGATAGTCAGGCTTCTTCTTCCAGATTTAGTCTCCATCTTACCTCAATGCCTCTAACCCAGGACTGAGCCCTTTCCAAATTATCTTCATTGATTTCAGCAAGTTTTTCACTCCAAGCAACTGCTTGCGCATCAAATGTCACAAAATTGAATTTACTTTTATATTTTAGCTGTTCCTGTAGGAAACAATTATTAGTTAACCATAAAACCATGTGAACATAAGAAAAGGTTAGGAGAGCTCACAGTATGATACATTTTAATCACTATGGTGTCTATGATACCTATTTTGAGTTCTAAAAGCTAAAAATTACACTCAATGGAGACATTTTTTTCTAGTACGAAAGGCATTTAAATAAAATGTATGTACTGTTTGGATGTTGATAAGACCTTTGCAACACACACACCTATATAATAAATCCCATACATGTATAAACTTTATATAAAATGTAATGCTAAATGTTGGTTTTAATATGGACATTAATGGTTTACAGAATAAGCACACTAAATGAAACATCCTTAAAGAACAGAAATCCAGAATGCTGTCATTGTTTCAGTCACTATCTTTTCAGTAAGGCTGCACTGGTGGTTCAGTGACAGAATTCTCGCCTTCCATGAAGGATACTGGAGGTCAATTCCCAGCAGATGCACCTCAAGCACAGCCACCACCCATCTGTCAGTGGTGGATTACATGTCGCTATGTTGCTGAACAGGTTTCAGTGGAGCTTCTAGAGTGAAACAGACTAGGACGAAAAGCATGGCAATCTACGTCCAAAAAGCCAGTCAGTGAAAACCCTGTGGATCCCAGTGGTTCAACTGGATCATGGTGTCACCACGAGTGGGGGGCCGACTCAACGGCAGGTAACAACGATGACAACATTATTCAGTTTCAGAGCTGCTCGCTTGCCTTCCCTCCAGCCTACGCTTCTCCAGCAGAGGCTTCTCAAATTAAAAACTGTACACTGTACTTCTCAAAATCCCCACAACCATTTTCTGTGGTTAATAGTTGCATCAACACTACCGATCCATGACAGCACTATGGTGCCCATTTGTACGTGTGGAAACTAGGCGTTAGGAAAATTAAGCAATCTGCTTGACGTCATACAGCCCAAAGGTAGCATGAGTAGGATAAGAACTGGAAGCTCCTAACCCTACGTCAGCCTACATCAGCCTATACTCCTTGCACACATGAATTCTGGGGCCAGCATGCCAAGTTCCCTAATAAACGTTAGAAAACCAAAATGCCGAGGTGATGGGAACCTGGAAAACAATGGAGATAAGTGTAGACCACAGATTTGAGGATGGAGAAAACCTAAAGCAATGGACATAGAAACTTCTGTAAACAACCCATGCATTACAGAAAAGCCCACCAAAGGAAGGGTGCACTTTTGAAGGAGCACTGATGATTCTGTACCTGGCAAAAGGGAGGTTTCTGAGGGGCTTTCTCAAGGATTTTTCAGCACCAACCTTCCCTGTTCACCTCTGATAACCACAGCAGATGATGGCTGGTGGAGATGACTCATGGTACGTAGGCCCCCAACTGCACGAACATTACAGTTCCATCTAACCTGTATAAGCTGAATGATCTTGTCCTTCACCAAGTCCAGTTTGCCCTTCATTGAGTGAGAGGCATCAATGAGGATATAGACGCAATCATGAAGCACTTTTCCAAATAGCATTTGACTCCCATCTTGTAGCCATTCAATCCTAGGCAAGAAATAGGCTGAAAGTGAATGGTTAGAGCCTGGAGGCAAACAGAGCATCTTCCTAAGAACTTAAAAATACATCCACAGAAGCCAGAGCCCGGCCGTATTGTTTATACTCAATCTTCTGTGAGCAAATTGTTCACTACAAGGTTTTTCTGTGGAAAATCCTACATTTGGGCTGGCTCCCTTATCACACCCCCCACCCACTCCCTATCATTCATCTAAGTAAAACAGAACTAGGAAAATCAATATGACAGAAAAAACAAACTCAGTACTAGGTCCCAAAGCCAAAAGTAAATTACTTCCAGTCATCTGATATTTTGAGGCCCTCAGCTATGATTTCAGGCCATTTGTCATCTAATCCTGCTGACTGCAGTCAAGCTAGTAAAGCCAGATCATTCCTGAAGCTTCAGTGAAGCTTATGGACAGTATCAAGTGACCCCAGATCCCTGTAATAACCAGGCACCAGGGAGCTGTGTGAGCAGGACTGATCCATGGACCGTGCTGAGGCTCCATCACAGGATGTAAATGAAGTTCATGGCTGTAGGCAAAGTGGGCAGGGGCGGGGGGGCAGAAAAGTGTTTGAAACGGAGTTCAGCAAAGCCTGGCAGCTAGAATTTGTAGGGCAAAACATTGAAGAGAAGGGAGCTGCACAGAAGGGGAGAGAGAGCGTGTGCAAGCTCTGGAGATCTGCAGAAGGATCCCCTTGAGCCTTCTGCTAAGTAATGATCAGAGCAAGCTTGTGAAGAAACTGCTAAAGCCCAGGAATGAATCACCAAAATGGAGTAGGTGGAACAACCTCTCAGCGCTTACGCAGGGCGGGGAATAGCTCACCTTGCAACCAGCCAGAGTGGGAAAACCTCCTTAATACATGGGACATCAAGTGGAGCCCTCATAAGAGTACTGCCCTAGTTGTTGTTGTTGTAAGATGCTGTCAAGTCGATTTTTGACGCAGAGTGACCCTACGAGACAGAGAAGGACTGTCCCATAGGGTTTTCTAGGCTATAATCTTTACAGAAGCGAATTGCCAGGTCTTTTTCCTGTGGAGCAGCTGGGTAGGTTAGAAACGCCAACTTTTCTATTAGCAGCTGAGAGCTTAACCATGTGTCACCAGGGCTCCAAGTAGTAGGACCAAATTAGCCCTGGACTAAAGGCTTTCCTGAACCTATGATAACAAAACTTAAAAGCAAACCCAGAGGGATCAAACTGATTCCAAGTAACTTAAGTGCATCACACAACATATATAAAGAATACAACAAAATCCAGCACCCAACAATGTAATATTCAAAATGCCTGGCATCCAAACAAAACTTACCAGCTTTTTGTGCCAAAAGCTGGAAAATATGGTACATAACCAGAAGAAAAATAACAGAAAAAGACCTAAAAATGACACAGATTGTAGAAAAGGATATCATATAGCTATTATACATGTAATCCATATGTTCAAGAAGGTAAAGTATGAACAGAATGAGGAGAGAAATGCAAGATACATATAAAAAAGACCCAAATGGAACTTCTAGAAGGACGCAATATGTGAAATGAAAAATACGTTACACGGTGTTGACAGTGAATTAGACGCTGAAAACAAAAGCTCAGGAAACCTGAAGAAAGATATAGCCACAGGAAACAATTCAAAATGAAACAGAGAAAGACTTAAAAAAATTAACAATGGGTAAGTGGCTTGTAAGACGATATCAAGGAGCCTGACATATCTGTAATCCGTGTCTAAGAAGGTGAGGAGTGGAGGAGACAGAAAACATATTTGAAGAAATAATGGCCAAAATGTTTCCAATTTTGATGAAAACAATACGCCCAGAGATCCAAGAAGCTCAGAGAACCCAACCAGAAGAAACAAACAAAACCACATCAAGGCACATCATAATACAATTGCTGAAATCCAGTGATTAAAAAGAAAATCTTAAAAGCAGCCAGAGACAAAACTGCGCATTACACGCAGAGGAGCAAACATAAGAATGACAGGAAACTTGTTGTCGAAAACCATGGCGGCCAGAAGACAGTGGAGAAAAAGTTAACGCACCGAAAGAGGGAACTATGAACCTACAATTCTACGCTCAGCAACAAAATTTTCCAAAAACGAAGGTGAATTAAAGATTTCCTCAGGCTAAGACATCTGAGAGAATTCATCACCAACATCTGTACTACCAGAAATACTAGAGGAAGTTCTCCAGGCAGAAGGAAAATAACAAGAGAAAAACTGAATCTATCCAGAGGAATAAAGATAAATATCAATTATGTGGATACATATAAATACATTCATAGTCTCATTTTTAATCTATTTACAAGAGAATTGACGAAAGCAAAAATAATGTATCATGGGGTCTATAGCATATGTAGAAGTAACGTGTAGGAAGACAGAAAGGACAGAAGAGGAGAAATGGAAGTAGTAAGATTCTTAAAATATATATGAAGTAATATACTATTATTTGAAGGGAGACTGTAAGAAGTTAAAAATGTAATTGTAAATGTTAAAGCAGTTTCTCTCTCTCACACACACTCACACATACACACTCACACACACACCAAAACAAAAGAGGCAGAGTTAATAAATCAATAGCGGAGGTAAAACGGAATAATAAAAAAAATACTCAACCCAAAAGCAGGCAGAAAAAAAGTAAAAAGTAAACAAACAAGGGGAAAAAATGCAAGAAATAGAAAAAAAAAGCAAGATCTTAGATTTAAACTCAACCGAATCAATAATTATATTAACTGTAAATTAAATACAGGTAATTAAAAGGCAGCGATTATCAGACTGGATTAAAATAAACAATACCCATATATATTCTGCCTATAAGAAACCCATTAAACTATAAGACCAGCAGGTCAAAGGCAAAGGGATGGAAGAAAGGTCGACCCTGTCAACAACAATCCGAAGAAAGCTGGTATGGCGATACTGACATCATGCAAAGGAGATTTCAGAACAAGGATTACCAGGGATTAAAAAGGGACATTTCATAATGATAAAGGAGTCAATTCATTGAGGGGATATAACAGTACTAAACATATAAAAAACCAAAAAGCAAACACATTGCCATCTAGTCAATTCTGACTCATAGCAACCCTATAGGTCAGAGTAGAACTGCCCCATAGAGCTTCCAACAAGCACCTGGTGGATTCAAACTGTTGACCTTTTGGTTAGCAGCCATAGCACTTAACCACTATGCCACCAGGGTATATGGACCTATTAACAGACTTTCAAAATACAAGCAGAAAAAACTGAGAGAAATGGACAAACCCACAACTATAGATGGAGACTTAAATACTTTTCTCCCAATAATTTATAGAATAATTACACAGAAAATAACTGACAATATAGAAGACTTGAACACTATCCACTAACTTGAGATAATTGATATTTACAGTATACCCCACCCAATAAAAGCAGAATATGCTTTTTTATTCATATTCTGGGACATAAAAATAAGTCTCACTAATGAGGTACAGGAGTCCAGTGACAAGGGCCAGAAGGCAGAAGGGGACAAGGAAGCTGGTGATAGGGAACCCAAGG